TTTACCTATTTTACAAATGTTCCTGAAAACATGGTTGTACTGAGTTATTCTGTGTTACTGAGTGTAGACTGATGGAGACCAGGACCAGGTCATATCATACCGTGCACGGTAATACCGGTGTAATGTTAGGGGATGATATGAAATTGAAATATCGCTATAAATTTGAGTGAAATGCGCAGTGCCTTTTGGTCCAGTCTAATGCACATGGAGGGAGAAGCATGGCGGTGACCGAGGAGGAGGACGAATGCAGTGCATCTACCGACACTGTAGGTCTGGACCCGGATATCAGAATATTCGGTCATTGTGGTGGTGTCTGGATAGCAATTTTGAGATCCGAATGTTTGCCCGCCACCCACCGCTACCCTCCCCCACCACCGCCGCCACCCGATGGTGGAAACAGAAGTGTGACCACTGTCCTAAACTGGCACCAGCAGCCACGTACTGCCTGTGGGTCCCGCCCACTTCCACCCCGACGGTCCGAATATTCACTTTGAATAAACAAATCGTCAGCAAGCGATTTACAATTTATGCACTATGGATGTTGGTACATTACAGCTTTAATACACATCAGAACCAGCTGCTTGTTAAATGGAAAAGAAATTGTTTTTATTTTTTTTATTTGCACCAATAAAGTTTTGAAGCATTTTGTCGGGCATCAGTTATATCACTAGCGCACATTTTCTCATTTGTATCATGATAAATAATTTTGACTGCATCATCCTGCCCTAATGGAGACAATTAAAATTGCATTCATTCAACATAAGAACTACAACACAATAAAGCATCCAAAAAGGGAAGAGGCCTAAATATTTCTGAAGTGGTTGTAAACCATTTTTCAGCAGTTTATTTTAACAGAAGTGTAAACATTTGGTAGCAAAAATAAGTTATGTTGATTCAAATTTTAAAAATTACATAAAATATTAACTATAGCTGTTTCCTTACCATTTTCTTTTCTGAGTTAGCAGCTTTTATTTAAGCTGATCTTTCTTATTCCTGCAGCGTGCTGGTTTACAAGTTTGTCGTGCGTCTGCTTCTGTCACTCGTACGCGGAAGTGAAACTCGTCCAGTGCAAACAGCTACAGATCGAGCACAGCCAAACGACAACAAATCCAATTATGAATGTATTTGTGACAGCGTGTGTTCCACAAACAGAGTTATAATTTGACAGATGCCAGTCTTTCTCGGTAACGTCGTTAAACGTCGTCTCCCTGCCGGCAACAGCATCTAATTTCACTTTGACCTTCTCTCGTATTTGTGCCAATGTAAAAGAAAAAAAAGTTTCCAGTCATGTTTCTCTGTAATAGAGCCAAGACAGAAGTTTATGACGACACACAAAATTCAAGTTAAACCCAAGGTCGGCCCTACTGCTCGGAGGATCAAGCTCTGCTAGGATTTTCTCCTGACCTCCGCCGTGCAGCCTTTTTGCTCCGCTCTCCAACAGTCTGCATAAACTGCAACGGCTACACGTGAACAGAATAATTGCTCCGAATAACGAAACAACAGGATATTTATCCAGCACCAGTGATTAACTGGTTGCTGGCTGTTTCCACTTTGCATCCCGTCTCGTCTTTTTGCCAGAGTTTTTAATCACTGGCGACAGACTCGCTGATTGTTCCTTCAGCTCTTGTGGCAGGGCATCTGAGAGACCTCTGAGAAAAGCTCTATGGCTCCTAATTAGGAGATTGAGAGATTTCTTGCAGAAGTGTTGGAGAGAATGAGCTACAGCAGATGAGAAAAAGGGAGACAGACAGAGAGGGAGAGTTGCCTGCTGATGTGCGATGAATGAGAAAATTATGTTTTTTTGCACAACTCTTAATTAGGACTGAAATTGCTTTGTTTCATAAGCGGCAGGTTTTTTGCTTTTTTTTACATAGATGTGGCCCAAAAACGACTTTTTCCTGCATTTAGAGCAGCTTTTGATTTACAACGTGCAGCTTGTGACAAAGGCACCTAATTATTTTCTGCCAGTCTTTTATTTTACATTCTGCATTTTTAAAAGTTTTTCTCTCAACAATTAAAAAGCTTTTAGAAATGATGTGATGCCCACATATTGTGAATGCATGTGCGTCCTTGTAAATCAATCTGGTTCATTATTCTTCACTAACTCATTGTAAAGCTTGAAAGCAAACTTATTTTCAATTTGAGCTAAAATGTTCAATTGTTTACTATATAAATTGTTGTTTCTTAAAGTGATAAATGGAAACGAATCTCTTCTCCTTTCCAATTAAGTCGTACAGAATAAATAATTGAGCGTGAACACGCGGTTCGTCAGCAGCGCGGCGGGTGACAGTTTTTATACCTTTCATTCGTCTGTCAGAAGTGTTAATGGTGACAGCGGGCTCAGCATCCGACACCAGTCAATAAATATTCACCTACATCTCCGCGCTATCGAGCATATTTTGACGACAAAGGCCCACACAGATGCAATAAAAAAAGTATTTACCTCCCACACTCTGTCACACACACAGACAAACAAAGCACTCCATGTCTGCAATCAGAGTAATCAAGTGTGTGAATAGGCATCAGACAGGAAGATAATGACACAAACAGAGCCGCTGTAGCGCAGGTCAAACAGCTCATTACTGTGTGGAGGGTCTCTGGTCACTCCTCTCCTGCAGCTCGCTGATGCTCAGGTTTACAGGAAGCTTTACAATCTGCTAACGGAGGGCGTTCATTCGGCGCAACACGGTGAAATTGAAAAACTCAAGGTGGAAATGCTCGATACGTCAGCCAGGTGCTCTGACAAATCGAGGTCCATCAATTGTGACCAACTTGGCGGCTCGAGAAAACCTTCAGAACACATTAAAGCGTTTACAAAAATAATGCTAAGGGGACTTCTTGTGCCTTAACATCGATTGGAAAGCAATTCAGTGAAGATTTGCCAGTAAATACTTGTGTTGAAGTCATTTAAACTGAGCTTCTACGTTTTGAAGTTGCAGAAGTATCTGAATGGGTCTGAATGATAACTCTCTGATTTGTCCATATTCATGTGTATTTGTAAACTACGACTTCTAACACTGTGAAAGCACAAAATCATCCATCTGCACCACTGCTCTCAGGTCAAATGTACGGGAAATTCAGTCAATTTCATTTTGTTCATTATTTAAAAAAAGAAAAATGGACTTAGACACAAAAATAGTGTATTTTCCATTAACTGAGACCTCAGCCGAAGATGAATTAGGCACAGGGCGGAGGACAGGATTTGACTGGACTCTTCTTCAGAGTTTTAAAATAGTTTTACATGCATCACCAGGTTTTATATTTATGGCAGTCACTCGGTGGTGATTCTGCAGCCGCATCTGGGAACACTGAAGGCAATCTAGTATGCACACAAGAGCAAGCTTAATTTTTCATTTGCATAGTGTAATCCATGAAATTTGATTGTGGAAGAAAAGGATCTGATGAGCACTGCACTGATGCAAATTGACCCTGCAGGTAGGAATGTAAGTAAAGAGCCGTACGCTGTCATACAGAGCATGACACTATGTCTTACACTGGCCAAGAATTTCTGAAAAGCTTCTTTAAATAAAACAGGACATTTTTGACAACATAACATTTCCCCACTTCCTTGTCAAGAGCAAACAATTCCTCCTCTCCTCCCCTCTCAAAAAGAAAGAAAGAAAGAAGGAGCGATTTGTGCAAGTCTTCAGCTAAAATGCTAATCTGGTGAATTTGCTCCCCACAGAGAGGAGCTGCTCTCCAATAACTATTGTTTCTTTGTGGATGTGTGTGTTTGTGAGACGTGTCGTTCTGTTGATTTCTGTGAATGCATGCGCTGTATATCTCTAATGAGATGATGGAGCTACACAGTGCAGCTGTCTTCTCCAACTCTGCACAGAGGCCCATGCATTTTTAATGGCAGCTTCACGAGATGAAAAAAAAAACCCTGCTCATTGAGAAACCACCAATCTCTCTGCCCCCACCTTCCCACCGACACTCCAATGGCATACTTCAAGGGATAGCTATGGATACCGGTGATGCATTCATGTCTTGCTTGTGGTATTTTTTTGTTGTTTTAGTGCATATTTTCCAGAACAAAAGTGGAAGAGTGAGGAGACAAAATAGTAAATGCTGCACTTGTTCTTGTTTATTTCAGTCAATCCAGTTGTTTCATAAAAAGCTTTTGTGTGAGGTTTATTTCATTTTAAGTCTCTCGTGTATCTTAAGTTTAAAACACATTCCCCACAGACTGCTCTCCGTCCTGATGCAGTCTCGTTTTGAAATTTGTGGATTGCCACCGTAACTTATAGCAACCGCGAGCCAATGGCATCAAAGCAAGCAGGGGAAACCATGGCAATGGGTATTCAATCAGAGCAAAGAGCCAGCAGCATTAGTCCTGCACTTGAAATGATTAGAGCAGGTATAGGGTCTACAACAAGAAGCCAAAAGCTCATTAATGCTCCCATTTTTTTTGTTGTTGCTTCCAAATGTGTCACTACAAACGGTGGGACTGTATCGGCAGCACGATGGACGCACATGCACGAACACATCTATCCACACACAAAGACGGGAACTTCCTCAGTCATCTGAAGGAGAGAGATATAAAAATATGCACCAATATGATCCTATAGCTAACAGCCCTGACATCCCAATTAACTACTTTTGACAGCACTGGATAAACATCTCAAAACGAGCAATAATGACAGAAATCTAATATCTATAAAACTGTGAAACAATACGAGATCCTCGGTGGTCTATGCAGCTGAAAATCTTGGATTTACTTTTGCATTATTTATTATTTCCCTTGTTGTACCTTCATCTCATAAAAGACCCTTAAATAGGAAACATCGAAGCGACACTTTTTCCACTGAACACAGAATAAAGCAGCGACCGATCTTCCCACATGACATAGTTTGATTTTATTGTGTCACTCCAGTGTTACTGTTATCAGTCACATCTCCTTGACACACACACACACACACACACACATGCACACACACTGCTCCAAAAGATGAATGCGGTGCCCTTTTCCTGGTGTTCTCAGGAATGTGGTACAGTACCTGTAGGGAATCCAGTCGGACGAGTGCTTGGAGCTCATTCTGTATCAGCTGCTGTGACTGCTGCTGCTGCTGCTGCTGCTGCTGCTGCTGCTGCCTAACTACAAGGCTAACGGCCTGCAACAGCACCGGTGCAAGTGGCAAATGGGGGTCTGAGGACAGCGATCACAGCCAGAGAGCCCACATCGCCTGTTCATCCTCTGCACACAGCCCTATATTCCCGGCACTGCCTGTGTTTCCTCGTACGTCCTCTAGCTGTGGAGTAGCAGATGACTAACAATCCCGTAAGACGGCGGCCGCACTCTTCAGTCATGCACGGCGAGCGCATGAAATAGCCGTTTTCTTCTCGTCCATGTGTACGCTTCCAGTCAATGCCTCTCCTCTTCTCTTCTCCCATCCGCCGCCTCTGCTCCTTCCCCAGCGCTGGCTCTCTTCCCTTGCACTCACTCTGTAGGCTCTATCTAAATCTCCCTCCGTTTCTTTCCCTTTAAATCCCCCCTCCCTTCCTTATTCCCTGTCCAAATCTCGCTCTCTGCCTCTTTGCCCAATCTATCTTTCGTTATCTCTCGTGCAGCATCACCTGCAGCAGCAATGAGTGCAAAGCCTTAAGCAAAAAAAGAAAAAATGTAAGGAAAGGTTATAGAGAATCCCTCCTTTTTTCTGCCTCTTTGATGCTCCTTCAACGCTATTTCTGTACAGTGCCACCCACTCGTACTAATGCAACCATCTCTCTCTCCCTCTCTCTCTGTATCTTCTTGCGCACTATCTGTGTTGCATGAGGCATGTAAAGCAGGGACTCAGATGTGTTTTCTGGACCATAATTTATTTATTCTCTCAGAGTAAGAGGCATTAGCATATGACTGTGCAGACTAGTGTTAACAGCCTTTAATTCAACACTCTCCACGGCCAGACAAAGGCACCCTGTGATAGTGCCACAGCTCTGAACCTCTCTCTCACACACATCTGCTTCCGCCCTCCGTCTGCCGCCCCTCACTGTCACCGCACAAACACACATCACTCACTGTGCTCCCAGGGTTATTCAGGAGTCCATCTATAGGCAGTTAAACCCGGCGGCTTCCTCGCAACGAGCCCGGTTCACAACGAGTCAATTCATGTCAAGTCCATCAACAATCTTAATTCTGTGCCGTCCACGTGCGCTGATGTGTGAAATCATCTGCAACAGTCCTGAAAATGATTCGGGGGGGAAGACAATCTATTTCTAGTGAGATGAAAAGATCCTTGCCTTCCACTGACTCCCTGAGAAAATAACCTCAGGCGGCAAAAACCTTCTATTTGCTATTTTCTCATCCGTCATGAGTCACATTCACACGGATTTAGGACACCGGCTGAGATAAACTATTGTAAAAGACTAAATTGCACACAAGTGCGCGCGCACACGTATGATGGATGAAGCATTTGTAACGCGCTGATGTTCATCCTCCCAAGGTCAGAACTCAGACACAATGTTCTATAGTGAAGCTGTAATATATCACTCGGCTTTAAATGTTATTTAAGCGTAGACAAGTCAAACAGCGGAGTCGCTATTAGGGGCACTCAAGCATCTTCTCTCAATTATTTATTGCACGCCCAAAAACAACCATCGCTAATAGAGTTAGGCGGTAGACTGCCAAAGCAAACCAGGAAGAAAATGAACAGCAGCGAAGGCCAGCAGGGAAATAAAGACGTTTCTGTTTCGGTTAAGTTTGTGACAAAAGTGTGGGTTTTAAATTAAAGATTGATCTGTTAAAGTAACCACAGCAGAAGTTATCTGCATAATAAATAACAATTAAAGACCTTTAGCGGGCGTCCTTTAAATGCAGCGCTGGGCTTTCTACTGAAATATCAATTCTAATTACACACTTACTAATTTTAAAGATTTCTCACTTTATATCTTAGCTTCTATATTTCTTGCTTACAAAACTTTGTATTCCTTCTGTGGTGCTGCACACAAAGAGAAGAAGTCTTGTGTTATCCAAAAAGTTTTCAGTGTGTTGCTTTGCCCAAATACCTCCAACACACCCCGTTAATAGAGACCGACAATTAGCCTGAAATAAAAACAGCCACTCACAACTCTCTCCCCTGGGCGCACTAATTTATCCGACAATAAAGCCAGAATCTGATTTGATTCACCTGTACGACCAATAGCATCAGCACCTGCTGCAGCTGCTTTACTGGAAGCACAATGAGACATCGATTGCGTTCTCCAGTGGCATGGCCTTTCAGAAATGTCAAGTTACAAAGGTGGTTCACTCTGACTGAAACATAAAGAAAGTTTGGACAGAACAGACTACAGCAAAAATAAACCAGCTTTCAGAAAAATCCAAACACATCGATCGCTCGCTGGGCTCCGGCCTCCATGCCAGAAATCACCGGTGATGTTTAACTCAAACGGATGATGGGGGATGTTTTTAGAAATGTAACGGTCAGCTCTGTGGTACATTTGGGTTCCCTTTAGGTAACCGGTTTAATAAGCAAATCTGTTATTCCGTCCTGGAGAAAGAGTCGCATAGCGCTGTACTAAATCACAAAGAGAAACACCAACAGTTTGAAGTTTACTGAAGTGGGCAGTGAAGTCAGATGATCCTCCCACACACCTCTGCTGCTGTTTCTTCTGCAAATTACAAAACTGCAGCTCCATTACACAAGAGAAGTCCAGGTCGTCCCCCGTGAAGCTCAGAGAGACTAAAAGGCCTGACGTCACAACCCTGGTTCTGCATTGTGACGGCGAACCAAATCCCCAGAAAATGCTCAAGATTTCCAGCCTGTGGACGCACGTATGGCAAGAAGCAGGACAGCACAGTAATTAGGAGCAGCTCTGCCTCTGCCCTTAAGCAAAGCACTAATTCCCTACTTCATCCGATTGCCACGCAACATTTAGCCAAGAATAGACACAACTCTACCCAGACATTCATCGGCTATTTCAAACTGGTGAAATAAATGCAGACGACTGTCAATAAGTGTGAGTGTTAAGTCACTGTGAGGTTAATGGTGCGTGCGCTGCATATCAGCCGCTGTGATGAAAGTGGAAATAAATGGAACAAGCCAGTCCGCTGAGGAACAGGTGTAAGCACAGCACCCTGCTTAATATTTGATGCTGAAGGGAGGACTTTGAAGTTGGGCTTTGGTCATGAGAGAGTTGGAAGTGGGCAGGAAGCTGAAACTCATCTAATTTTGTGAAGACAGAAGAACTACAGCAAACAGTGTTTTCTTTGTTTCTGTGTCTCTCTCTTTGCTCCTTCCTTCTTTCCTTCCTTCCTTCCTTCCTTCCTTTCTCCTTCCTCATTATTTCCCTCTGGCCTGACAGCCAACAACTAAACAACAAATAAGAAAATAAGACATTGTCCTCTTGACAAATTAAATTTTTCCAGTCCAGAATTGGTACAGAGTTCTCCCAGGGGCGTTTTATTGTTAGTAACAGGAGGCCAGCAGTATCAGTAATTATAATAATGGTCCTGGCATAGAAGGCACACTGATGTGAAAATGGATCTCTGGCTTGTGTCTGCCTGTCTTAGTCAGACCGGCTGAAACACAGCTGCAGAGCACACGGCCTTAATAATATAGCAACCTGATCAGGCACACAGGACAGGACATGTGCTAACTGAGTGACATTCGTGTGCTCAGAAATCAGCCAGAACCCACATTGTTGCACCGATGCTTCACAAGCCACCGACCTGTAGGCAGAGCGGTCATTTCCAACTTAACCTGTGCTTTGTGCAGCTCCGACCACCCAAATGAACCCTCTTCACGTTAACAGCGTTTAGGCACAACTCGCACAGTTAGGAATTAAATTAACGAGTTCACCTTTGAGAATTTGCGAAACATACCGAAAGAGGTAACGAGGTGATAACACCGTGATAACAGAACACAAAAGGTGACATTTCATTTGAATGTGACAGATACTTGGCAAGTGTTTTATCAGTGTTATGGTACATTTATGCATCTTTAACTGTTCTGTTCACTGTGCAAATCATTGGGACACAAACAACCTGCCCAGGATGCCAACAAAACAAACAAATAGGTTCATGTCTGGCTTTCATTTATTCATATATATATATATAGCAGCGACACTGTCCAGTCCACCTCATCACTGACCCACCTGCTGACGAGAACCGTCTCAGTCCACTAACGACATGATAACGAGGTGCAACGAGTTTGCGACGGAAGTCGCGGCGAGAACACAAGTTGTGTCCTCCAGTTCATACAAGAAACGGCTATATTCGTCTTCCGCATTTGGAGACTTTTATGACACATTCAGCCTTGAAATGAGGACTTTGAAAGAGGCAATTAGGACACAGCTAAGGAGTGAGTCACTGACTGGATCCTCGTTACGTCACATCACACACGGGAGCTGCTGCGCTTCAGAGAGACTGGACGAGAGCCAAGGGATCGTGTTAGCAATATGTCAGCGTAAGCTAAAAGATGGTGTTTAATAGGCCTCACCTGTTTAATTATGCATCAACAAAACCGTTGAGTATCAGAGGAAGGAACGGGATACAGTGGATATCAGATGGTGCAACATCTTGTAAGTGCAGCTTGATGTTGCTCAGAAATAAAAGGAACATGTTTACCGGTAACAGATCTGTTTGTTCTTTAAAAGTCCTTCTTTTGCAAAAGCTTGAGCTACATTCAGGCCTGATGGACAGGACAGAACAGCACGAAGCAAACCGGCTTCTAGTGGTGCATGGAAAAACATTTTCTAATAAACAACAAAAGCATGCACTGGGTTACACCAGCAGCAGAGCAGTGAAGGGCTCAGCACCGCTACCTCAGAGCAGGAGGTCTGAACCTCTGCTCAGCTGTATGTGTTCTGGTTGAGCTTATACCTTCTACCTGCGAGGAGTCTTTTCCAGCTGCTCTGGCTTCCCTCCACAATCCAAAAACATGCTACTCAGGACTCTCATGCTGCCAGATGTAGAAGGTCTTTCAGGGTCCAAGAAAGAAGATGTGCAAAATCCTTGTTGGTATTCATAATAGACTTTTATACTATGTTAAATAAATGTTCTGATAAGTTGATGTATGCATGACAAATGTCCCTCTTCTTATATTTAAAATTTAAAAAAA